AGACATCAGAAAAACAACAGGGCAGGAAACGTCCGTCTGCCCTCCCTCAGAAAAATATTTCCCTTGGGAAGCAGGCATGGCAGCATTTTCGTTTTGGTGCTGGCTGGTGTCAGCAGGCACAGCAGCAGCAAGAGGATTCTTTGCTTGCTGCTGAGGCCGATGGGGAATTTTCCTTCCAGGTTTTCACCTTCACCTCACCCATATGCTTATAAGAGCAGTTCTTACCTGTTCCTCCAGTGGCGTGAAGCATTTTCAAGTGATCTACTGTCATTTGCAGAATTTCTGCCTTCTCCAGCTTGGAAGAGCCCTGTGTGTCAGAAGCAGGAAAAGAGAGCAATTCATCATTTTATGGTCTAGGGTTTTGTGCCACTCAAGAGTTGGGTTTTGCCCAACAACCTCCTCCCCAAAATCCTCCCGAGGCCCAGAGGTGCTCAGACTGGCACAGAACATCCATCCAAGGCATCAACTCTGGTTTTTTTACATCAAGTGAGTAGAAAAAGTAGCTCCTTCCCAAGATGCACATTGAAAATACCCCCTTCTGTGCATCTTCATATCTGCAAAACACTTTCTGGATCGAATTTATCCTTCTCAGGTCTCTGGAATATTTGTTAATGTTGTTTTACCACCCAGTTTCACCACCTACTTACTCCCTGAAGTGATGGTGGTAAGAAAGACACAGCATTGCTCCAGACTTTCTCTTTCCAAGGGCTCTACCCGTAACACTGCTGAGACGCAGCTGGCGCAGAAGGATGGGTGGAAATCAGGGACAAACACACACACACACACACACACCTGCTTCTCAAAGGCGGTGGGCACCAGGCGCCGCAGTTCGGAGAGGCTGCTGTTGATACGGTCACGGCGCCGCTTCTCGATGATCTGCAGGAGGTTTTGAAGGGGAGAGAAGAAACCGCGGTCATTTACAGCTCACAGGTCTAAAGCTCTTATTAACAGCTCCGGCCATATAAGTAAATGTTTTGGGTGCAAAAGCTGAGCAAAGAAACATTAACTGGCTGGTGTGATAAGCCCCGGTGAAATCGCTCTCCTCCACTCACTTCTGCAGGGTTTGAGGCCAAACCCCTGCAATAAACCTCGAGCTGGCTGTGGGGAGAGTTCTGCAGGAGACAGAGTGAGGAATGGTGTAAAGCTGATTTTTCACCATGTGCCCACAGGAAGGACGTGCCAAGAGGACCCCACCGCACACCGGGGTGTCACGGGGAGCCCTGGCACACAGCCGAGACCAGCCTGATCCCCCAACCTGGTCAATGTAAATGAGACTCACCCCTCTCCTCTTCTTCCTGGCTTGTATCTGAGATGTTGTAGTGGGAGACACGGACCTGGAAACATGACTGGAAAGGAAGAAGAAGGAATTATGTCTTGCACTAGCTGGAGGGGAACCTCTCTTGCACATATGCTTTACACACATTTACCATCTGCAGTTTCCCCTCCCTGAATAACATCTTCTGTGGTTCCCATCTCATTTTTACCCACAACACAGAGCTCAGGAATTGGTGATGGGGAGCCAGGCAGAGACTCGAATCCCACTCTCCCCCCTCCGAAAGTCTCTCAGCAGACAGATTTCTGCACCAACCCAATCATCTGATATCAGGCACAGGTCTCCTTCAACCTCAGCCCATGCTGGCACCTCCACGGGGCTGAAAAAAGCAGTGATCTGAGCTCCGGAGTCGTGGCTTTTCTTCTCCTTTGTGTGTGAACCTCACGGCTCTCGTGTCTGAGCCTGCCCCGTCTGCAGGGCTTTGCATCTCGGAGCTGCGATAGGACAAGCATATATCTGAGCTCCCACCCAGGGCGGCAGCAAAGGGCTGGTTGCTCCTCAGGGTGAGGCTAACGGCATTGTTGATGTGGTTTCTGAAGGCTTCCTACCAAGCCACGATTTTTTGGGGTGGGCTGTGATATTCTGAAGGCACAGAGGCCTCTGAACCAGCAAGGGACCAGGACCCAGGCAGGGGGGGCACCCAGCAGGAGGTGGTGGAGCCTGCCGGCCGAATGCCACATGGACCAGCTCTGCCTCAGGGATGATGGACGGGGAGGGGACAGGAGAAGGACCCCACAAACCATCCTGTGCCTGGTGGGCATGAGTGGGAGTAAAGACACCAAAGGTCAGCACTAAACATGCACGGGGAGGCAAAGTTCAATCCTTAGGTCCCCGCGGAGGCGAAGTCTCCGTAACGATGGATAACAGGGCGTGGGAAACTCCTCGGAGCAAAACCCCTCTGCTCGCGGGGGGGAGGCCGGCTGGGCCACCTTTCATTTGCCCCGACCGGGGGTTCTCCCTTCGGAGAGCGGGACTGGCTCGGGGCTGTTTCTGCGCCTTACGAAACTCGGCGCAGGGATGTTAACACGCAGGCGAGACGTCGGTCTGGAACCCCGGCCGGCGCGGTGCTCTGGAAGGACTCAGAGACCACGTAAGCCATACAAATTTGGAAATGGGCACTTGGGTTCACCCCATCCAAATATTTTTCAGCTTGACAAAGCATTTTTAAAGGCAGTCTGTTAAAGACATTTCTGCAGAGACAGTTCTGGCTGCACAGCAAGCCAAAGAGTCGACCGAACTCAGCTCATTAAAAATAGGTTTTCTTAGGCCCAAACAAGGTGCTTTCAGAAGTGGTTTTACACAATCAGACCAAATAACACGTTCTTCTGCTGACTGCTCCACTCATCTCCATGCAGGTACCCTATTTGAATGTCTGCTGGGTGGGCTCTCTCTGGGTATAGGTGCTGGCTGGCTTCGCAAGTACGGACATGCATTGCCAGTACATATAAATGCACATATGATGAGCACGTGTGATGTGAAAATGTTACACATGCAAGCGGTAGGTACTCGACTCGCCTGGCAGGGCAGGAGTGCGGGGACGCCACTAAAGAAGCCCGTAACAGTGAGTTTTGAAACTCTCTTTGCAGAGCTGTCCGAACGCATTGCTCGTTGTGAGCTACAGTTCCACATGTGGATGTAACGACCCAGCTTGCTGCAAAATATACTTCAAAAATACATTTGACAGATCTGAACCACATAAAAGACACCATAACTATATCCTCCGATAATTAAAATTTCTGCGTTGCTCTTTGCTCGATTTTATAATTTACAGCACAGCTTTGGCTCTTGGCTCAAAACAAAAAAGCAAAAACCAGACCAACTCCAAAACCGAGCAGTATCTTGCACTTCTGCAGCGACCCCAGAGTCTAAACTTGCTGCACGCACTGAACCCAGCCTCACACCCGGAGTGACTCACCCCTGCTCTACAGGGGAACTGGTTTGCCCAAACCACTCGACCGATGGGTAATGGGCTGGGAACCCCGACCAGACAGCCCGACTGCCTCCCTCTGCCCCCAGCGCCCCACCTGGAAGTGTTTTCATTTCGCCCCATCCACCACCATCCCATGCAGGACCGCGTTACTCGGGCTGTAAACTCGTCAGGGCAGGAACAGGTCTTCTGGTCATGTGTTTGCGTGACATAAGCAATGAAATACATGTATACAAATGCCACCAGATCACAGCGTTGCCTGGTTCTACCACCGGCTTGAGAAGACAAACCTATTAGCAGCCCCAGAGAGAGGTCAAAAATTCCTCCTTACTGTTCACTGAAATAAAATACTGCAACAACTCTATTTCATCCACATGGTACTACAGGCTCAGTGTGCTGCACCGATGCAAAGAGGTGGGGTACATTTCACGTGCAGCAGGAGGGCAGGTTAAATACTGATGCACTTAGAAACTGCATAAGGGCTCAGTGAATTTGCGCAGGACATTGTGTGTTGGACATGCCTGGCTCTGCTGTGACCGCACCAGCGAGAAGCAGACTCGTGAATTTAGTCCCATGAGAACCTGAGCTTGGCACCGGGCAGGGCGGCTTCGCTGCTCAAGTAGCAAAAGCGAGTGAATTCATCTGAGGACACTTGCCTACTAAAACAACAGTTCAAAAGCAGCTGGTTTTTGGAAGAGAACAAATAACAGAGCCCTTCCTTCTTCCCCAGCGCCGTCTGCACACTCGGAGCCTGGGCATGCCCGCAGACGGCTGACACAGCACGGGGACTGGGGCTGGGAATGCCCTTTGAGAGCGGAGTCGCTTGGGGAACCGCACAGAGGTCCTGTCCTCACTCTCTCCTCCCTGTTTCACCAAGCAGCAGAGCCCCAGAGCCGAAACTGCAGCTCAACGGCGTCGGGATGGAGCCTGCGAAGCTCCCAGTTGGAGCGGGGCTCCCTCGGCTGCACGGGCTCCATCCCTAATAGAGATCAAAGCCCCGGCGGGTGCATCACAAACGCCTCAGCAGAGCAGCATTTCTCATGCAAAACCTCCTCGTTTCTTCCCCGTTCCCTGAGAGCCTTGGCGCTGCAGCTGCATCCAGGCGGCTGCCGGGAGCCTTTGCTCCGGGAGGGGGAACTGCCCCATCTCGGGGTGCAGAGACCTGCGAGCAACCGGGCTCCCGCTACCGGGGATCAGAGCTGCCCTTCTCCCCACCTGGCAGGGGAAGGCGAGCGCGCTGGCTCTGGTGA